TGACCGGCAGATGAGCCCCATTTCATTTTCTCATTTATTAGCTAAGAATTAGCTAATTCTTTTCAACCCCCAAAACAATCAGTGGTGGGTTTGCCTGTTTGAAATCACTGAGTATTAATCCTATCTGAAGATTACAAAGGACCCACTAGCAAAAATCAGGTTTGCAAATGCTTTCCTTGATCTTCTGTACTTTCCAGAGAAAGCAGAAGAACATCATTTAGAGCCTTGCCTTTATAAACCCCATTAATCTCCACTTGCCCTGTCTGGTTGTTGCAATTATCAGATTTCCTGAGATTGTTTTTAATTATTATTTTGGCAGGCCCCAAAAAAAGTTGACTATTTTTCAGAAGGGCAGTGGCAGCAATAATTTATCACTGAGATCATCTGTGCTTGTGTTTCCTTACTCAAAATAAATTACTGGAGAAAAACTCATCTATTTTCATAGACAGACTTATAAGTGGAGCTCTGACCAATTGTAAAGATTTGCAGAGATTAAAAATCAGCCTCTCAGTTGGAGGAATGATTTTGTGTTGTTTGTCTTCCAGAGGGGGAGCATCCTGAAACAAACAATCACAGGCCGCATCTAGGATAATAGCAAACAAATGAATATTGAAGCACTCAAACACTACACGCATTAACCAACTGTGCCTTCTGTGGGGAATATTTCTTCTCAGCAGACTATGCCCTCTTTATTCTATTAATGACAGAGAAATTTGCATGAGTATCAAGCACCTTCTGAGTGACTTATAGGGATGAAGGACTTCATGCATTGCAGCTGCTGAAATGGAGTCTCAAAAGTAGGCAGGTGGTTCAGATTTTCCAGGAGCTAGCCTCTTCCTACTCAAATCCAGACTGAGTTGTGGTCACCTCATTGTGTGCCCCCTGCACAGCACTGCTTCAGTACTTCTGGTACCACCCGTTCAGCAGCAATAGATACTTCATGCTTTAGAGAAGAGAGCCCTTCACCTCCTGGCCAAATTAAACCATGAATGTCTTCATTGATGCTATACCAACTTGTGTATGTCACTATGTCAGAGAGCATTTCTCACAGCTCTTAGTGCTTTACCTCTGAATCTGTTCCACTGAACTGTGGGAGGACTTAATTCCCCTGGCATTGGTGAAAAAGCACTGGAAGAACAAGTCTCTAACAAAAAAAGGAGGCAGGTTACCAGTTTGAGTGACACTTTACAGCTCTCAAAGAGCCAGCCAAATTGGGTCTAAACTGAAGTAAGACACATGTGCATGCCATAGGAAGGATAAGGCCTGTGTGTGACAGAAGAGGGGAATGAAGTCCCCTGCCACTCTAAGCTCTCTGGGTGGATAGGGAGTGGGACTGCAACTGAAGCCAAAGGGGCCCCAATGCCCTGGTGTACTTGTGGCCACGTATTTCCTGATCTCATCACTATTCTGCCCCACTGAGTGCATCCAATCAATTGTAAATGCTATGGATGATCAGAAGGAAAGTTCCCTTGAAACCCAGGCAGCAATCAACTGATACTTACATTTGTTGTTTATGATGTAGCTCATGCAATGCCAAGTGCTGGTCCTAAAAATTTTTAACTTTTTAAAAATAAATTACGCGACAGTATCTTCTCCCATGCTATCAGTACCTGCACACCTGTGGAAAATGATACACACAATCTTCTTTAAATTTATTGTGCCCATTTCCAATCATTCCAAAAGATGTCTAAATATAAAATTAGTATGTACAAGCAAACCCTAAGGTAACTTGCAAAGGTAAGTGGATTTAGGGTTGTTTTTTTTTTCCTTTTGACTGAAAAACTGGCTAAGTATAAAGGAAGTTCGCTGGGAGAGGAGGGATTCCACACTCCCGAGAAGCAACCAAGAGGACAGGTCTAGGAGAGGGAATTTGTAATTCAGGAAGGCTAATCCTAAAGAACATTTCAGTTCGGTATGGGAACAGGTAGGGAATGGTGTTTAGGTGTTTTAAATGTGGCAGGCGCCAACCTTTTTGGCAGATGTGCTACAAGATAAACCCTGTCCCTTCCCCAAGTGCCACTCCAGTCCCCATCCCAATCCACTGTTCTGCCTTCCCTTCCCTGTCTGCCCTATTGCTGTTCTTGCCATCTGATCTATCGCTCTGCTCTCTTCACCCATCCTGTCTGCTGTTTTTCTGCTCCCTGCCAGGTTTGCTGCATGCCACACAAAGTGGCTGTAACAGGTGACTTGTGGCACAGGTTGGCCACTTCTGCTTTATTGGTTTGTCAAGACCTGTGTTGCTCTTGCTCTGGCCAGATGGAAGAAAGGATGACTTTGGAAACTGCTTGCAAGGTCTCTTATTTGCTTCAACTAGGACCTGGACCTAAACCCTAAAACAGGGGGTGGGCAAAATAGGGCCCATGGGATGGATTCAGCCCACCAAGGCATTTAATCTAGCCCGTGTAGAGGGCTGAGGGACCCACCAACCCAGGCGCAGGGGGCAGCTCAGACGATGGCATGTGCTGCCAACCTTTGGGTGCATGCATGGTGGGGCAGCTGGACTGGGCTTCCCAGCAGCCCCTGCAGCGATGACTCACACTGCCAGTCTGCCTTGGAACCAGTACCGAAGGAAGCAGGTAGGCAGGGGACCCACGAAGACTGGCCTGGGACCACTGCAGTCAGGGCGCACACTGCCAAGATAGGGCCGCAGGTAGGCAGGCAGGGAGTAGCGTCCAGGATCACGGGGCAGTGACAGCTCAGGGCCAGGGCCCAGGGCAGAGCCTTGATCCCTGGATTTCCAGAACAGGCATCTGCCATGGGGACATGCAGGGAGCAGATTGAGGCTCTGTCCAAGACTGCCTCATGCTGTCACTGTTCTCTGATCCATGCCTGCCCAACCCCATCCACCCAGCTGAACATGTCCTGCCCATGGTGGGGTGGGTCCCACGGAGACACTGTTTACCCACCTGCTCCATCTGGTGTCCCTGGCTGTGGGTGCAGGAAGGGCAATTGCCCTTCCCCTCCTCACTGTGCCGGGCTGAGTCAGCACCCTTCTCCTCAGCCTACAACAGTCCACCAGAACTACGTACATGGCCCTCCAGTCCAAATAATTGCTCACCGCTGCCCTAGATCTAGGTTGAAGCTAGGAGACAGAAAACTCTTTACTTACTAGCCCAGGGGTTCTTATCTTTCTTGGACCCTCAGAAAATGCCAGGTTTTAGTTTTCACTCACTCTTTCATAAAAATAATTATTTTATTACAAAGAATTCAGAAAGTCTAAAATAGGTGAGAATGTGTTGACACTACGAATTCCTATTTGATATCTCTGGCTTTATCTTGTGAATCACACTTGCATACCTAACAGAAGCTAACATTGCGTAGCACCCCAAAAGGATCTCAAGTCACCCCAAAGTGCCTGGTTCAGAACCACTGTACTAGCCAGCTGTAGTCAAAGAATACACACCCCAAACATACTAGAAACCAAGGTAGAGTCTGCAAGAACGCATGAACCCAGCATCTTAGGACCCCAATAGAAAACTGAAGTAGTTCTGCGACATGGAACTTTCTATGAGTGCCAGAGAGAACTAATCTAGCATGGATTGAGATTACTGGCATTTTAGGTCATCAACAGACCCACATTAAGCTCACCCCCACAGAAGCTAGTTGTACTAATCTATTCTTCCTGACTGCTTCCGTAGTCAGTCGTCACACCAGAAGTCAGTAAACTTCTTAGCTTCTCTAACTCAGTCAGCACTGCAGGTCCCCATCTCATTTCAGGTGAAAAGGCTATGTGAAGGAACCAGGCTACATGCTGCACACTAGAATTTTATGGGCCTTACAAACCTCCAGAAGCTGTTTTTTCCCCCTCTAGTGCCATATATAGATATCTCATAACACCAGAAGCACTAGGTATACCTCATGCAACCACTTGGGGCAGCAAGTCCAATACAGTATATGCATTTACCAGCCCTTGTAATCAACAATTGCATTTGTACCTCAAAAGTACACTTGCTATAAGTAGAACATACTGCTCTTCTAACATGTAGCTAATTCTGGCATAACAGGTTCAGGCAGGCAAACAGCAGGTTTAGAAAAGTTGCAAGAGAGGATATCAACTTTGGTAGGATTGAATTTTTTTTTTTGAAAGCGATATACAAGGCTAAACTACCACATGTCCAATAGGGGAAGAATGCATTAAATCAGGGTTTGAGCTACAATGGTTTCTCTCATCTCCCCCAGAGCTAATCACTAGCTCTCATATGAAATCAATAGGAAGAAAAAAAAAAAAAAAAAGTCTAATAACATCACCCAAACCCCATGTTAGACCACGTACAAAAGGAAAAACAAATCTTTCCTTACCTGGAAATAACATGAATGCTTCTCAGCAAATTTAGTTTATATCCACTATAAGTCAATACACATTACGGCTGCTTACAGATGCAACTCTCCATCCCCAACCAGTGCTTTACTATAAAAACACAGAGCCCAGCACATGCCCCAAAGAGATCCCATTAGTTGGACCTGGCTCACCCAACATCTGTATCAGTTGGGCTCTTTAGTGTGGCTTTTTTGTCGCTTTTATCCAATAGCCAATTGAATCAGCTTTAGATAAAAACATCCAAAAGCCCTGCTGGAATGCCTGATCTACAGAGACATGGCAGAGCCAGGTCAAACTAATATGCTGCCTCTTCTGGTAAAACATGTTCCCCACTTCCTCCCTCTTAGCAGTCTATGATACTAACCATGGACTAGGCAAACTGGAGTTAGACCAACTTTCATTGGCACCACAAGCATGTTGGCAGCTTGTTGGTCTCTGTTCTGTTAAGCACTTCTGGTTCTTAACACTGACTGGATGTAGGGCAGCGGGAGCTCCACTCCAGATGTTAGATTCCATAAGAGGCTCACTTACTGAAGAGTGCCACGTATTATCCAAAGAAAACTGACTGACTACTTTTTTCACCATATTTTAATAGGAGCTGTACCTTCTGTAAGATAAATGGACCGCTTCTGAAACTTGTAGGTGTTTATTAAATGCCAAAAATTAAGAAGAGACATAGAACTTTAGTTATGTAACTTTATTCTTTTAAAGTAGAAGAAATCAACTCTTATGCGACCAGGGCAGAAGCTGTGGATGATTCACTGAAAAAAAAGAAAGATAAATTAGTTGTTTTGAGTAGCTGCCACTGCAACTGCCAAAAATCCAACTTCAAACCAGAGCCTGACAAGATAAATAAAAAAAAAAAGTGTCAGCGTTATTGATTATATCCTCAATTATCACCTACTCACTTTCCTTTATTCCTCTCACTGTTCTAAGGCTGCTCTCTTTTGAAACAAGGGAGCTGTACTCTTCTTTTCATTGCTGTGCCAGTTCAGCATCAGCAACCCTCAGCTTATCTAAAGTTACACTTTCCAAGACTAGAGAGGCTCACTCAGACATCCAAGGAAGGTTTAGCCAACACTAAGGAACAACCTTTCTGGTGGAAACTGCAAACGGTTGGAAAGTCAAACATCACAGTGAGCAACCTGCATTTAAACAAAACGTGCATAACTGACACATGAATGAAGATGACAGGAGGTTTTAGACTCTTCCTTGCTACAGATGTTCAATACAAATAGAAAAGATTCCACTATTATACTGTAAAATGTTACTCTACCATACAAACCTAAGTTTGTAGGTAGGATAAGCCCGAATTTAACTCCAGTATGCTATTGGCCATGGATTGTCCAGCATTTAAATAGTTAAATTTGGACCACCAGCTACTGCTCTGCTTCCTTATTTAAGCATACATTGATCATATAAAAATGCTGTCCTAAGATTTTGAGCTTTAACTCCACTATCAACTATGGGGCATTGGGAGCCAGGGGGGATTCTCCATAGCAAAAAAGGAAGAAAAGCCAGTTAAACACTTACTACTTCCAATTGGGTGGTAGCACTCTCTTGGTCTTGTAGTAGCGAGCCAGCCTGTGAATTCTGCTCTCAATCAGAATCAGGCGGAATTTAGCATCTTTATCCTGACAAAAGAAATAAGAAACAGTCAAGTAAAGAACTTCCTCTTTGGCATCCAAGATAGTTTATTTACAATATAAGCTTTAGTGAAATCCAAATGCCCACTATTGTACAGGCTGGTATTTCTTACTTTTAGACTTTAATCCTGATCATGAGACACCAGCCTAGTCAGCTGAAATGCATAGGGATTCTGTGTAAAAGCAGCAGTAACTTTATGAGAGACCAGCACTAAAACTGGAAGACATACACAACAAAAGAGCTAGTTTTTATCCAAGCAGGCCATTTACATTTTATTAAGCTGAACAACCAAGTTTTCCTCAATTGTACTTAGAATCTCTTCTCAGTAGAAGTTGTTTATCAGTATCCTTGAGCTTCCTCTCCATTTACTCCTCTGCAAAACAGCTCTACCAACTAACTTTGTAAGAGGTGAGTGGCATTATTTAGATGCCTGAACTTGACTTCCACCTGGCATCAAAACCAGATTTTTAGCTTATAAAACTATATTTTATCCTGAAAACTTGCAACAATATCCAAACAAACAGACAAGTCAGGTTTATCTTCAATATCAATTTCAGTTAATGAAAGTGAAACCACAAAAACTTCTATGTGCACAAAATAAAAAGATGTTTGTAAACTAACAGACTAGCACATGTAGTTTCTAAATTAATCCAAAGACTTCTGGGGCTAGCAAAGATTTTTAGGACGTCTTATTCTCGTTTGTCATGATGTGCCATATTTGTCACCTTTTGCCATACAAGAACCACTAGTCATCAGGGGCACATGCACGTGATATGCTTTTAAAAGCACCCAGTGCTGCATCTCATGTGTTTGTATAAATGGTAAAATGCATGTCAGCGCTAAGAAAATGGCGGCAGCGTTCTTTTGAACTAAAACACATCGAAGGTGTTTTAATTTCAAAGTGCACCACTGCCATTTTCAGTGCTGATGTGCATTTCACCATTTATACAAACGTATGAGATGCAGTGCTGGGTGCGTCAGTTTGCATGCTCCGCAGACTCGATAAATCAAGTCTCCTCTGATGTGCTGGATTTCCAGTGTGTCAGAGCAGACAAAGGTATGTGTATAAATGCCACAGCAGCTTACTTTTCTGTTCCTCTCAAGATGTTTGCGAACAGCAACAGCCTTCTTGATCAAATGGTACAGATCCTCTGGAAGATCTGGAGCAAGTCCTTTGGATTTAAGGATCCTCAAGATTTTGTTGCCAGTGACAAAACGAACCTGGGCAACACCATGAGAATCCCTCAGGATGACACCTGAAATGGACAATCAAGTTTAGATGAAGGAATCTTTAAAAACCAAACAAAGAAACAACAACAACAACAACAACAACAACAAGGCTCACTACTCTACAGGCTCACTCAAACATCCAAGGAAGGTTTGCCCAACACAAAGGAAAAAACTTTTCTGGTGGAAACTACGAACAGCTAGAAGACGATTATCACAGTGAGCAGACTATTAGGAAACATTGGATCCAGAGAACTTCACTGACGACTCATCAACTCACCTATTCTGTAGATTAAGTAGTAAATATTGTATAACTTAATATGGCACGTTTATGATAGCAAGTTATGTCATTATGTCATACAGTACCATAGAAATAGGTCTTGTCAAACCAGCTTTTTCTCTGTAGGCAAAAAAAGCTCTCTCTGTGGGATAACACATGTTTTTGAGATTGTTGGACTTAACGTACATGCTTCAAACAAAGTACTTAGGAGACAAAAAAAATAGGTTTCAAGGTGTAAGTTTGGCAGGGGCACTTTATCTAAAGCTTGCCAAATTAATTTTAGTCCAAGCCCGCCGCCACTATTTTGAAGGGCGGGATCACTAATACATAAGATACAGAGGCTGGCTGGAGCACAGCAATTACCACGCTCCAGCAGACCCGATTCATCAAGTCTGCTCCAACATGCTGCAGTTACAGCGCATCAGAGCAGCCTCCTGGCTCGTGTACAGGCACCTTATTGTAGTCGCTTAAAAAAAAAAAAAGAGAAAGAAAAGAGAGCCGAGCAGCATGCCTAAGTGCAATGGACTTAGATAGTGGCAGGAAAGTGGACTCTTAAGCAGACAGCTCCCTGCACACACTTGGCCTTTTTTTTGCAACCTAAGTTTCTGAGAAGGCAGTTTAACATTTTGGATAACGAAGCAACAGCCACACGGACAGCAAGGCAAACTACCCCACAGTCAGGCTGGTATGGCCTGCGGGGGGTTTTGCCTTCCATTGTAGCAGGGGACAGGGCCTCTCCTGGGGACCACTAAGAGCGTTTCACCCAGGCACGATGTGGGCTGCCCCATCCTACTTTCCCCAAGGCAGGAGGGTCACGGGCAGAGATGACATAAGGGCTGGGCTGGCCCTGCCTCGAGACCCACTCCCCGTGGCCCCCTCAGCTCTGCACCCCGCGAGAGGAGGATGGGCGCCGTGCCCGGCCCTTACCTATCTGCGAGGGCGTCAGCCCCTTTTTGGCCAGCTTGTAGATCTGCTCCTTCACGTCGTCCGACGTCAGCTTCAGCCACTAGGAGAGACCCGAGCCAGCTGCAGCCACGACCCTCCAGCCGCGTCCCTCCC